AAATATGCACATGGTATAGTGAATAAATATGTTTACATAGACATTTTGAGAAGAAACTTGAAAGAAATAGTGGAAAATTTGGGCTGAAAAACAAATCAGGATAACAACCCCAAACACTCTACCATGTTAATTAAGGAATGGCTACTTCATAACTGGCCAAAGTTATAAAAGTTTCCCCACAGTCACCAGATCTTAATGTGATAGAATACCTGAGGGCCAAATTGAAGGTAGAAATTAGAAAACACGAAATTTCTATAAAAAAATATATATTTCAAAAAATATCTCTTCGAAAAGTGTAATGTCCAAAATTCACCAAAATATTAGTAGACTCCATTAAAAACAAACTAAAAGGAGTTGTAGAAATTATGGTTTGTCTACAAAGTGTTGAAGTAAATTTATAGTATTTAAAAGTTAATAAGAATTGAGGTCTATCATTTTGACTGTTAATATTGTCCAGTTTTTTATTTACTTTAAAAAAAAAAATCACAGTCGAATATTTTAATTTGACTGAGTTTGTACATTAAATTAGACTACAAATAAATCTGTTGAAGAGTTTTTGGCTTTATTTATTTACTGTAACCGTTGCAGTGTTTTTTCTACGGATTCATCAATTTCATTGTGAGCCAATGCATGTTAAAAATATAACCTGTAGGTTAAATTAATTATTTTCATTTTAAACACTCTGATCTATAGCGTTTCTAAACCTATGGATCAATACCAAATTACTCAAAACATTCATACTGTCTTATTCATTTAAATCAGTAAATAAATAAACAAATAAATAAAAGTAAAAATACTTTTAAGCGATATTTCCTGAGACGTAAAACTAGAGAGAGGCGATTCGGTAACCCTACGCTGTCAGGAACCCAGCCGAGACCCGCAAACCCATAAATATTTCCCAACCCTAATTGCCTAATGGAGTTGATGGAAAAAAATATGTGATTGCACTTAGGTTAAGAAAAAGTGTTGAAATTTATTGGGACAATGGAGGCGGTGGGGGTTGAGTTACTGCCCTTTATTACTCTCTGATAAAAAATGATGTTTTTTTATTCTTTATTGGCTCATTAGTAAATAAGCTTCATTTCTGAACAACTTTTTTTCCCCACTTTTTCTGCGCCGTAGGGGAATTTCTTTTCAATTTGTGAGCAGATAAATTTAAACAATATAAAAGTTATTATATTTAAAATATTAGTGTATGATTCTTGGATGATTGTTTTTTTTTTTCTCACATAGTCTAGAGTCAATACTTAATTCTTTAAAATTAATTATCAACAAAATTTATCGTTCGAATGAAGTAATTCCACATGTTTTAGAAAAAAAAAAATAGATTGCTAAAAATTCAAACCTACATTTTTTATTTTATTTGTCACCTTTAAAATATAAACATTTAATTTTTTTTAAAAACTTTTTGTAAAGATAGGTAGCTATTTCTTCATGAATTTTTTATTTAATTTTTCATGTGTTTGGCAGAGATGGGCAAATGCTACTCTGAGTACTGAGTACCAAGTATTTTACTCAAATACTGGTGTTTTTTTAGTACCAAAGAATTTAATTATTACTTCAGTTGATGTGATACGATTAACTGAAGTAGTGAATGAATTCTCAATAGTGATACAATTTGAGTAGAACACTTGGTACTCGGTACTCAGTGTAGCAATTGCTCATTTCTGTCTCTAGGAGTATTAATCTTCCACTGGAACCCCCCATGTTCCTGTTGAACAAATCCGATACCTAGGACTCCACCTGGACTAACGACTCACTTGGAATCCTCATATCAGACTGAAACGACAAGAAACCGCTCGACGTTTTCGAATACTCCAGCACTTACTAGACAAACGCTCTAAACTTCCAATTACTTACAAAAGACATATATATGTATATCACTATACTGAGGCTTATTTGGAATCGAGCTTTGGGACTCCACTAAACCATCGAATTCCTCTCGTATTCAATCCTTACAATCCAAAATCCTCGACGCTCCTTACTTTGTCACAAATAAAATCCATGACGACCTTAACGTACCATATGTTTCCTATTTAGCCCATTCCATATACCTATCCTTCCATGATAAACTTCTGAACCATCCGAACCCTCTTGTTTCCAATCTTGCTTCCTCTTCTATTCCTGATAACCCTCCGAGGCTTCTGGAAAGAAGATGGCCTCGGGACGTTCTAATATAGAACTTTAATATGAGTTCTACCAATGTATAGTGTCTCTTCATGTTGTACATGTCATGTTACCTATTTCACATTTACTTGTTGTATTTTTCATGTAATACTGTTGTAAAAATAAAAAACAACATAAAATTGAATCAATATAAATATAAGTTTGTTGAAAGCAAACAAAACTCGTTCCTCGATAATAAACTAAAATTTATATATTTTGCTTAGTAGATTTATTTTTTCTTAGATATGTTAAGAAAATTGGGACGAGATGGGGTGTCCCCATTGGGGACAGGGGTTGCATTCCAGCAAACCAAGGGGCACTAAACTGTGGACGGGGTCTGCGTTCCGGAGCTAACTGCCTCTAGCCAGGCGGATCCGCTCTGAGGCCAGCTGCGCCCCTTTCACCAATGGGCTACTTAGGCTGGGAAACCTCTGAGGGGGGGCTACAAAGCTTTAAAAAAGTTTCTACACAAACCGAGGGGCATCTCGGGAATAGAATGAGAGGGAGGAAATAGAATTAGTTTTTAAATATTGGAACCCTTTTCCACAAACACAGTTTTTTTCTTAAGATATACCTAAGTAAAAAAAAAAAAAAAAAATGAAAACATGAACATCCCGATAAAAAATAACGCTGTAAATTATTTCACAATGCAAATTATTTTTTCTACTATGTATCTAAAGTAACATAACCTTCCTAGTGACAAAGAAAAAGAAATAAAATGTGATTCCAATAATTGGACTAAACTTCTTTTTTTTAATCATTAGTATTATTCTAAACAAATTAGCATTACTTCAGTAACACATTAAAAAATCAAAAACCAAAACCAAAACCTTTGCAATAGAACAAATAAAAAACATCTAGAGACCATTTCCTAATTGTCCGATTTTAACGATTTTTTTTTTATAGGAAATTCAGTAAACATTTAAATAACCATACAATATCTAAAAAAATAGTGTTGACTTTTTGAGTTATTCGGAATCTAATTTTACCATGCCTCGTAACTTTTTTTGCAGCTTCTTTTTGTTGAAGTTTGTTATATAGATAAATTTAAAGGGCGTCGAGAATAAGACGTTAGCGAAGTTTCATTGAAATCGGTACATTCGTTCAGGGACTACAGTCTAGAGCAACGAAGGTTTTTCGGCCACCATCTAGAAAAGAAAAGGCGGATAGAAATGTCGATGAAGCATGATCATCGATGACCTAATCTAATTTTAAATCCAAATTTGAAAAAAAAAAAAACTCGGTACAGTAGTTTCGGGGAAAAATTATTTTATTCGTTTTTCGAATTCTACTTATCCTGAAACGCAAAACATTAAATTTTGAGAGGAGGTTAAGCTTTTGAATTTTCAGTTCAATCTCAATATTGAAAATAATAAACTAAAAAAAATCCGGAGATAACTTTGCTATCAACAAGTTTATAAATGATTAATTAACAAAACATTTTTCGTTGGTGAAACATTCTCAGATAAATATACTTATAATTTTTAAGGTTTTTGAAAGTAAAGTATTGCATAGAATATTTGGACCGAAGAAGAATGAGTCATCTGGAGAATTTAGGCTGTTACACAATGCTGAATTGCGTTAAATTGATTTGTAACCTCTTTAGATACTTGAGATCATTAAATAGTAATGAGTGAAATCGGTATGTACATTTTTAGGGGATAGTGACGAAATAATTTTTAAAAATTAATTCTTTTTGTTTTTTTCCTGTAGAAAACTTACTATCTACATTATATCATTTTTTTTTAACGAGATAAATCCCTATTTCTGAAAGTTTTTATTTTTGTTCTCAAGTATTAAAAAAAAAAAAGCAATCCAAATAAAGCATATTTGACCTACGCCTGTTTTAGTTCTCATTTTTAATTTTTGAATTATGAAAATTATCATAAATGATCTTTATGTCGTCTAGAAAAGAAAAGGCGGATAGAAATGTCGATGAAGCATGATCATCGATGACCTAATCTAATTTTAAATCCAAATTTGAAAAAAAAAATTTGGATATATATAACTCGTTATCGGTTACAAATATTCGTTATGAATTGGTTTCATGATAACTACAGTAACCGTGAAAGTATATCAAAATGATTTTTTAATTAAAATTGCATTATTAAGAATTTCTTTGCAATCAATGTTCTCCGAAAAAATAATATATTTGCCTGCCAGTTTATTTCTCAACTAAAAAATACAAAAATTGATTAAAATAAAAAGCATTTTTAAAAACGAATGGGCTAATTTATCTTCGGGCCTTCATCTTCTAATACACATTTTTTTTTTCAAGAGTTAAATTAATTTTATCTTAGGGTAGATGTTCAGTTTTACAATAAATAAGCCTCTTATTGAATAACCGGTTACTTTTTGTTTGATTTGCTCCTAGTATTTGTGTCCATTGCTTTGTGTTCTTTTAACTTTAACTGATATGAATTTATTGATATTACTGATATCATGGTTACCTAACCTATCTAAAAGTGTTTCTTTTCTTCGATTTGAACCTCCATGGCCTAGAAGGTTATGTATTCCCAGAGATAATGAATTGTTTAAGTGCGTGTTATAAACAGTATAATTAATTACAGTTGAATATAACATATTTCTAATTCTAGTCAATTTAATTGACCTTCATTTGTAAGTATGACTTCTAGTTGTGTTAATTATTATCCATATGTTAAGTGCGTATAATGCTTTGCGGATATTTTCTTGATGTGTACTTAATTGTATTAGTTTGGTCTGTAACAGAACATTACGGTATTTTTTTTACTCAAGCAGCTTGGAGATCATCACTCAGGGAACTCATTGTTGGAGATAAGTACACGATTGGACGGAAAAAAGGAATGGATAATACAATTCAAAAAATACCTTTTTATTCCACATTTTATTATTACTGTAAGACGAAGACGGACATACTGCAGAGTGCAAATGTCTTCAACCTCTTGCTCCTCCGAAAGTGATGCCGAAAATTCGAAACTGCTTGTTCTTCTTTTTCTTTTCCATTTGTCTTTGCCTTCTGATCCTTTGTTTCTTCCTCAACATCAAGGTATCCGTTATCGGCCTTCTTCCGAACCCCTTCCTCGGCAGCGGTTTAAAAACGTGCTTCCGACAGTTCGGGATCTTGCACGGAGCTCCTCCTTTAAAGACTCTTGGGTCTCTCCTTTCTTCGCCTAAAAAGAAATGCCTGAGACCTTTCATCAATCTCGACGGCAAGACTTTTTTGACTTCCTGGACGCCGTAGCCGTTCTCCTTTGCCAGCATTATCAGCTGGTTCATTTCCGGGTCCAACTCTTCATCTGTGTTGAGCAGAAGATGTAGCTGTTGGTTACATCCTGGCTTTTGATTATCGGGCATTATTTTTCTCCTTTGTATATTCCTTTCTGAACTAGTTTTGGATGTGATACTTGTGTGAAAAAGTAGCCAGTGTTTACTAGAATTTAAAATAACCTTAGTTTATTGGGTTTGAAAATGACATATGTACTAATGTTACAGATGGATTGTTAATATATGATATAACTCGTTTTGGGCATTCGTGTTCAACTTAGCAGTTTTTTTTCTTACTTTTTATTTAATTTCTTTCCTGTTTTATGTGACGACTCATCATTGTATCTGATTTGCGAATTCAATGAAGTTTCATGGTTAAAATTTTAAATATAATATTTACAAACAACTTATTATTAGCATTATATTGGTTAGGCCTCTCGTACCAGTTTCATAACATGATTATTACGAGAAAAAAAAAGGTTTCAGGCTTTTTTTTTTGCAACGAAATGAGAGACTTGAAGTACATTATATGATCATTTTCAGAAATATTTTGTTTGCGATGTGTTCATCATCCTGGTCCTGTAGGGGCAATAATTAGTTTTTATTATGTACTATATTTATGGATATGATTTTTCTAAATTTGAACCTAAAATTTCCCTCAATAAAAAATTCATAAGAAGGAAACAAATAAATAAAATGGAAGAAACCTGGAAGTTTCTGAGGTTGAAAAGAAATAGGAACTTAAAAAAAAACCTGGTTGGACTTGGAGGATGTTTATGCAGACAGATTGAATCCAGATTGTCAGCTGTCTGAAGCAGGATGTGGATCTTGAGGCAGCCTGCCTGCAAATCTCTCCCTTGTCGAATCTGCTTCGATAGAGCGAATTAACTGAGATCTATCTGATCTTGAGCAAGTTAATCTTTCAAATATTTAAATTAAACCATTTATAAAAACAGTTGTTAATAGAGGACTTGAAAATAATGAAATAATCATTATATAAATAAGAAATACAGTTTTGTCTATTTTTCTTCTCTGTTATTGTTAGCTTTAGAGTTTAGCTAAAAAAAAAAAAAAAAATGTAGTAAGAGTACATATTAATTAAAATTTAAAAGTTTGTTCAAAACTGCTAATTTCTTGAATGTTCTTCACCGATTACTTTGAAACTTTGATACAATGTTGCAATGAAATTGAGAATTTTTTTTTACGTTTCGTTACTTATTTTATTGCAAAATCCCTAACCAAATACGTGTGTCGCTATTAACTATACTTGGCTAAAATCTTCTTCTTAGCTCTTTTAAAAACCCTTTTAAATTGTGTATGTTATATACTTTCCCCCCAAAAAAATAATGCCCAATAAGATATATTTATTTATTCTTTTTCGTTTCATATTTTTGATGATGTCACATTACTAGCGTATAAGTAGAATACTTTATATTATTTTTCTGTTGGCATTACAGACTATGTAGATCTTTTGCACAAAAACAAGCCTGCTCCATCTCTGCCTGTCTTGGGCTATCTCTTTCCATTTATCTGCACGCTCTCCTCCCGAAACCTGCGCCTGTGTTCTACACATACATTGAGCGCAGTATGATCAGAATTGATCTTTTGTAAAGGTAAGTCGGTTTCTGGGTTAAAAAAGTATACTATTGGTTTTTCTTTTATATATATATATATATATATATATATATATATATATATATATATATATATATATAGATAAATACAACTCACTCGTAAATATAAAATAAATAACTTGACATGTACGACATGAGGAGAAACTACCCATTGGTAGCACCCCAATTACATTTCTATATTAGAAGGTCCCGAGGCCATATTCTTTTCAGACGCCTAGGAGGTTATCAGGAATAGAAGAGGAAGCAAGGTTGGAAACAAGAGGGTTCGGATGATTATAAAGTTTATTATGGAAGGATAGGTAGATATCTGGTTTGAGCTAAATCGGAAACATATGGTATATTAAGGTCGTTATGGATGATTTTATTTGTGATAAAGTAGGGAGCATTGAGGATTTTACAAAGGATTTTGGATTGTAGGAATTGGATACGAGAGGAATTTGATGGTTTAGTAGATCTCCAAAGCTCGATCCCGTAAGTTCAAATAGGCCTTATTATAGTAATATATATGAGTCCTTTGAAAATAGTTGGAAGTTTAGAGCGTTTGTCTAGTAAGTGCTGCAGTAGTCGAAAACGACGGGCGGTTTCTAGTCGTTTCAGTCTGCTATGGGGGTTACTAGTGGTTAACTTTAAATGGTGGAAACCTTTAAGGGGGGGGTAGGTGATGTACAGTGCTGTACCTCAAATTATTGAATTTGACGTTAATAATCCATTAAAATGGATCTCAATTACAAATTTTTGATTTTACTTTTGTTCTTGGAAATATTAAGGAGGGGACGAAATGATATTCTTACCTTCTTCCTATTTTTATTGGAGGGATGATCGAACTCCTCGCTCCTCCCCGAAGTCTATGCCGTGGGTAAGTGAATGTAAAAATATAAACATGCCAATTTTTTAGTTATTTTAATTGAAAGATAATGAAGATTTTAAATATGTCATAATTTGAACAACGTGTTGTATGTACTATGTGTAACTAGACAGATTTGACTGTCATGACAGATGTGCATTAGGACGTGGATAATATACTTACTGTCACATCAGTGGAGATCAACGAAGACAAATCGCTAGAACAGCTCGGATTCCGAGTGATATTTAGCCCTTCTGATGTGTAATGTTACAAGTTTTACCCTAAAATGCCGAGCTTTATATCAATAAATAAAAGTGTCTTTATTTAAAGTACATTATGATAATATATTTTGTTGTTTATTATTTATGTTGTCTTAGAATGTTTACACAAATTAAGTCTGTAGGACCGCTTCATGGTCTAGTTCATTCTTCTTTGCGAGATATATCCTTCAAATATGTGTTAACACTGTTAACACCTAGCATGATTGATCAAAAAAAAAAAAAAAAAAAAGGAAAGAAATGTAGAATATATTCTAAATTTTATGTAGTAATCGAAGTATGACGAAGTTGATGAAATATAAACACACACGAAAAAAAAAATTCTTTATGCCATAATAACTTTATTTTCCTGTGGCGTTCTTGGCACATAGAATTTAATTTTTTGGGGGGCTTGAGTATTTCTCTTTGAACAGAACCCTTAACAATTCATCAAAATGATTTTTATTTATCCATTTCTCCGCCATATTAAATTTTACTGGAAATTAATAAAATTTGGAAGTAAATTCTGGTAAAACATTTTTGCAATGTTAATATGTCAAAGTATTTGGCTCGAATTTTATATTATACATTTTATATTTTAATGTTTTTTTTTAACTCCTTTTTTATGACTTATCAAGTGACCCGTGCGAATACTTCACAAAGAATATTGGTTATTGAACAAATGACAACATAATAAGGAAATTAAATAATTCCACGTATCGTAAGATGAAACAACCGTTTTCTATTTTTTCGATGATTGTAATCGATCCAGGGAAAGAAAATTATTGTGAAACATCATTCATGTTTTTTTTTAAAATAAAAATGTTTTGATATAACAATAAACTGTATTTCAGGTAAAAAACCGAATATCCAAAAGTTGTACCTAGGCTCCCATTTGATGCAGACAGTTTTATTTTTCTAACATAACATAGATAAGGAAGTATTTATCTGAGGCCGTATTTAAGTCAGGAAGTGTTAATAAATTTAGATATATTTTATAGTGGGTAAGATATACATAAAGATTTGTAAAAATTCAGCACGACTAGAAAAATTCCTTACCTTCGAAGCGAAAATGAATAGGACAAATATTTATGGTTTAAGTAATGTTGTGAGGTAATTAATACAAACATTTTATGCATTATTTTATTAAATTGTTTTTCCTGACGGACATATTAAAACTGAAATTAAAGTATAGTGAATTCATATAAATAAAATATTGATTGTTAAAGTTTTTTTAATAAATATTAAATTTAATTTTAGAAACGTTAAACCGTTAGTGTGATGCATGTTATGGTTTTAATAAACATTAAAACTCTTAGCTGTCATCAACTTGACTGTAAAATATTCCGATGAAATGAAGAACGGTGAAAACCCAATATTGTTTTTATTCCGCTTAGTTTGATATTGGCAAATTTAATCATGTCAGAGCAAATTTCTTTGATACCATATTCATCGCACCTCAACTGTTAATCAACATTCAATCACTTTTTTCCGATGGGTAATCTGCTTTCAACCAAGTGTTCTTAATTAATCTGTTGTTTTTTTCTTTCAATTTTTGTTACAATTATTGAAAAAAAAAATGTACATGCACATTAATAAAAATCATAAATCATTATTTCGAATTTAATAATTTTTTGCAGTTTTTTTGTAAACCTACCTTTTTATTTTTGGGATAAAAGGGTTTATTCTTAACCAGATTGAGTAGACAGTTTAGTTGGTCCTCCAAGAAATAAATTTTAACTCACCCAGGCCGGATTCGAACTGGCGCCGCTAGACTCGAGGTTGCTCAATTTATAATGCATTAAAAATCTCCGCACACTTGATTTACTCGATTTTTTAAATGTTTTTTACAAATATTTATTGAAATATCTAAATTATTATTATTATTTACCGCCTTAATAAGCCTACTCCATTTTAGCCTATTTGGGATATTTCTTTTCAATTGAATATACGCAGCTCTATTGTATCTTTGATTATTCAATCTATCCATCTGCTTTTTGACCTTTCACGTGATCTTTGCCTATTTGCCTAAATTTGACTACTATTGAGACATTCGTTGTCGTGTAGAGGCTTACAGATGGATTGCTCGGGACTACATGTCCCACCCATCTTAACCTCCGTGCCTTGATATCATGAGATATTGATTGACCAGTTTCTTTAAGCAGCTCTTTATTGGTATTTTTTCTGGCGTCAGTATTCTGATCATAGATCGCTCCAGTTATCCTGCGAAGGATTTTTCTCTTAAATCTTTCAATACTTAGATAGTTCTCACAGCCATATATTAGATATCTCTTTATCATTACTCTGTACACTCTCAATTTGAGATTTCTTTAGAATTTTCGGGATTTTAATACCTTTGCAATGGAGAAGAAATCGTTATTTTCTGGTTTATTTCTGACCATTGGCTATTCATTGAGATTATTGTTGAGTCGAGTTATTTAAATTTTTATGCTTTTATGAAACGATTTTACTTCTCCTCAGATCCCGTTATTGGAGTAAAATTTTCGGCAATTGAGAAATTATTTCAAGAACTTTTATATTCTAATATTATAAAAAAAAAAAATGATCAATTA